GTATCCGTAGATGCGTCGCATCCTATTCAATCGCAGGATCGGTTTCAGCTCCTCACCCCACACAAGATGGTGACAGCCGGCTTGCACGACGCGAAAATGTTCCAAGCATCGATGACCAGAATCAATGGCACTCATAATACCCTTTGATTGCGTGGCATTCATTGGCCCAGAAAACTCATGAGGAACGATAATGTGCACCTTTTTCAATGAGTCGCTGTGACTCACATAGTATGATAGTGCATCGTCGAATGATTTCGTCCAGTCTCTAATGTGCAGAAACAGGTTTTGCACTTTCCAGTTCGGACCTTCACGAAGGAAATTGACAAGAGAGTCGCTATTTAAAAACCCGTCGTCCTCCTCTTCCTCACCGACTGTAACCACATCAATCGTCTTGGCGTGCTTCAACCCCACCGCGAAAACGTCCAACAAGTGGCAGCAGTTGGCTGCCGAATGAGCAATGTCAAGTGCGGCAAGCTTTGCTTCCGCCAGCGCGCTGCCAAAAATTGCTTCCGCACCGCCCGAAAAGCTTGACCTGGGAACCGTGAGAGACTTGACACTAGAGCGCGCCCACGCGGATCCAACAATCTCCGCGACGCGCTGCGTGCGAAAGTCAAAGTTATCCAAGAACAGCGACTTTAAGCTCTGGGCTTCTATAATGTTACGGAGAATGATTGCCGACTGCGGACTATCAATGACTAAAGGCGGAGAAGTGGGCGTAGCCCGCGCGCGAAGGTGACAAGCCTCTAATTGAGCCAAGCTCGTAGCGACCGGACCCAAGATACGGAAGGCGTCTTTTCGAAAATTCGACAGCCAGAAACGTTTCAACGTGGGATGATTGATAAGGCTCGTCTTCAATGCAGCGAGTTGTTCCGCACTCGCCTCGCTCGAAACATCAATCATTGCCGTTTGCAAGTGCGAACGACACTTGGCAATGAGAGCGGCAACTGCAGAGATGCTGGCAGCATCATTGCTGATAGAGACTAGTTTTGTCAGCGAAGAAATTGTGTCGAGCGTTTCGCCAATCTTCATGGCTGATGACGCTAGTGCAGCCGACACGATCTCCATGTTAATACCCGCTAGATCCGTCGCCATGAGCTGTACATCGCCCCAATCGAGATCGACGCATTCCAAGGGAGGACTATGCTGAGATAATGCTTGAAGGAAGCGCTCCTGCAGCTCTGGGTTGAGAAACAAGTCCGCCAATACACCACCCCGAATGGAGATTCGACTCGCTCCATTTGAGCCGCGTTCCAGTAGCCGAATGTCAGCTAAATAGTCTACATTGACCCGAGCGGGCCAAACGCGTAAATCTTGTCCAATTTCCAAGTCGGCTATTTCAGGTTCTTCTTCTTCCTCCTCATCTTCTTCATTGGCGTCATCGTCACCTTGTCGATCATCTTCATTCGCACGCTGACGAATCTCACGCAGAAATTGCTGCACTCGATTGTCCAAAGCACTTTCAACATTAGCAATGACAGCCGCGATGTTATAATCATGCATTCTTTGCTGTTCTGCCAAAGCTGATTCAAGAATACGGATGCGAATCATGCGTTGGGCCGCCGCCGCCGCCTCCTCCTCATTCTCCAAGTCATTCATGTTTCCGTCTCGGCGGACGGCGTTACTCACGCCTGCAGGCGCTTCAGCATTCGCATCATTCGCCTCACTGACGCCTGAAGCTTCGTTAGAGCTCATGTTTCGTGGTATAATGGTTGCAGTCCTTGTCTGTTTCACTTGATCGCTTTGTTCTTGGAGTGAGCAAGCAAGATCTTTTCCGGCGCAATAGATTGCAACGAAGCATTCGAGTACCAGTACCGGTACGACTACGTCGAGCCAATCGTACGAAGCTCTGTTACCGCTGCGACACCTTGGTACATTCCGACTTCCATTTTTGTCTCACATTATCCACCATGGCTTCACAGATGCAACGCTTACAACCAAGGGGCATGATACTCTCTCTCTTGCTGTTACTACTATCGCCATCGCAGGCGTTTCTGGTGTCACCAATTCGATCACTGTCATTTTATTCTCCTAGATGCGTCAACGCACTACGCGCACCATCGTCTCCTTCCGACGATGATGTCACACTCAATCATGACGAAATTGCTCGTTACTCTCGCCATTTAGTTTTGAGCGACGTTGGCATGGCAGGTCAGCTAGCGTTGAAACGCTCCAGCGTCTTGGTGATTGGGGCCGGAGGCTTGGGATCGCCCTGCTTGCTCTACTTGGCAGCGGCTGGCGTTGGACACATTGGCATTGTCGACGCCGACACTGTCGACGCGTCGAATCTGCAGCGGCAAATTATTCATGCCACAAGCACTGTTGGCGTATCAAAGTGCGAGTCTGCAGCAATACGCATGAATGATTTGAATCCAAATGTTAACGTTCGAGTTTACGAGCAAGAATTTACTTCGGAGACAGCAATGGATATACTTGGCCAAGGCTTTGCGGAAGGTCAGCCGTACGATATTGTCATTGACGGAAGCGACAACTTTCCGACAAAGTATCTTATCAAGTGAGTACTACTGAATCTGCATTCAATGCTTGCAGTTTCGACGAGCCATTTCTCGTGAAATGTATCTGAATCGGAAATCCTCTCAATTGCTGTTTTCTCCCCAACTATTTTTCACTCGTCTAGTGACGTCTGCTCCATGGTCGGTGTTCCATGGATCTATTCAGCCATTTTAGCATTCGAAGGACAGCTTTCCGTCTTTAATGTGGACGCCAACAGCCCCGACTATCGCGACTTGCTACCAGTGCCTCCTCCACCCGGCGACGTGCCCAGTTGCGCCGAAGGAGGTGTTTTGGGAGTCTTGCCAGGAACCATGGGATGTCTACAAGCCACCGAAGCACTCAAATACTTGTTGGGACGACGAGAGGGGCTTTTGGTTGGTCGCGTGCTTGTATTCGATGCGTTACAAATGAAATTTACGCAGATTGGGCTGCAGAAAACACCGGGGCGTGAGCCGATTGCAAGTCTCATTGACTATCAAGGATTCTGCGGTGGTCCAAAGCCATTAAAACAATCAGCAGTGGATGGTAACAATGAGCCAGTTGCAACAACGGAAGCTCAAGTGAAACGGACTATGGATGAGGCGGAAGTGGTGACTGCAGATTCGGCTCATGGTAGCGAGGCACCCTCTTTTCACTCCATTCCACCTCCGGAATGTTTAGATAGGCTTTCAAGTGGATGGGCTCCCTACGTCCTGGATGTACGGCTCGAGACGGAACATGACATTGTGGCATTGCCATTTACGGATCGCGTCGTTCCGCATAGGCAGGTGCAAGTATCGCACATTCCGACAGACGGCGACGTACTCGTATACTGCAAGGCTGGAGTTAGAGGCAAGAAAGCATGTCAGGCCTTGGTGAAAAGTGGTGTTGCACCAGATCGCTTGTACAATTTAGAAGGAGGCATTATGCAGTGGCAAAAAGAAGTGGACACAAGCATGCCACGCTACTGATGTGATGACGGACTGCGTTCACTGTCAATGCCAAGAACTTTGGGTCCAGCGCACCTCTGGAAAGGCTGATGCATGTGCGATTACTCAGACAAATTACTCTTTGTTAAAGACGCCTGTGCATAATTCGCTGAGCTTGTAGATAAGTGCAATCGCGATCGCAAAAGGCCATTAGTATTATGCAAGAAAGTCAATGATTTAGTTGTTACAATATCATAAGAGGCTACGGCAATCCCATGTCAACCCGAGACAACAATGCCTCTGCGAAGTACACAGCGCATAGTAGTAGAGTGCTAAAATTTCTATCACGTTCACCGTTTGCCTCGGACTCGCCGCACTATCCGAGTCCACCAGGATTTTTTGGCAAAAGTCACTGGCGGTTCTTGTTGTAGCTGTCGCGGTATTACAACCCGATACGCTGTCTCGTTGACTGCAGCATCCTGTTGACTAGTTTCGCGCGCTTGTCGCTTCCAGCGAGACAGCTCGGCCGAGTGTGTGAGCCGCATTGACCGTATTTGTTCATTTAATCGACCAATCTCTTGCCGCATCGACTCGATTTGCTTCATGTCGACTGAATCATTGTCACTGCCAGCATCTCCCTTCATTTGCAGCAACTCTTCGTTGGCAAGCGTCAGTCGCTCACACTCGGCGCGCACGCCATCCAACTCGCGTCGCATTGCTCGCTCCCTCGCATCGGCCGCTTGAACGGCCGCCACGGCAATCTGCACTTGCTCTTGAGCAGCTTGGTCGCGTTGCGTTCGTTCGTCCAACGCCAGCACCAACTCTCGCTGCAGCCGCGTCAGTTGCGTTTGCAGCTTGCGCTCGCGTAGTTGCACGTCCGACTTGTCAATGCTTGACTGCTTGTTCAACAGCAACAGTTTCGACTGCGTTTCCTCCAAGCGTTGATCCAAATCCAAGAGTTCCGACTGTAGTGCCTTGATCTTGTGATCCTTTTGAATGCTTTTGTCAACGAGAGAGTTCTTATCGCGACGCAATTGTGCAACTTCAGCTTGAAGAACTGTCACAGTTTCCTCCATGGCAGTCATGTTCCTTCGTAGCTCCGTTTCGCTCTCTCGTCGTTGCATTTGCTCCTTTTGTAACTCTGCTGCAGTCTTGTTCTTTTCGTTGACTAATTGCTGCGTCACATTTTGCAACACCATGAGTTTGGATTGCGCCAGAGAAAGTTGCCCAAGCTTTTCCTGCACCACATGCTGCAGCAGCAGGGCTCGGTTCTTGTATCGCTCCAATAGAGATTCTTGTTGTTCTTGTATTTTTGATTCTGTTTCATCATGCAGTGTGTCTGCTGCTAGGGATGTGTCGTCGTCTTGAGGTGTCATACAGCAAAGTGTTTGCTGCTCGTTCCATAATCTGCTTCTGACCATTAATTGTGAGGTTGGGATGCGTATTATAAATGCGGAACATGATTCAAAACAACATATCAAAGTCAATGTGAAAAGACTTCGTTTCGTAATCATAGTTTTCGTAGGTAAAAAAGTGGAAGCAAAGTCGACACGACAACATGGAAGACAAAAATATTGGCACAGCTTCCTGCAGGATTCGAACCAGCGACCTCCTCATTACTAATGAGGTGCTCTAACCAACTGAGCCAAGGAAGCGGCTGTGCCGAAAGGTGAGGTCCGTGGATATGAAAAGGCAAACAGTGGTCATATCGTAACGGTTCTGGATTTTGCGCGACAGCCGTCCAAATCGAGCGACATTCATCAACGCTTGCTTCTGTGGGATCATTCTCCACATTTCCTAGTGATCGTTATATATTCTTATAATTAAAAGAAGATGGTATGAACAAAAGTAGTCCAATTGCAGCGAATTCAACGAGACGTTGAAAGTTTTCCCGCCTCTCGTACATTAAAATTTCTCACTTCGTTCCATTCACTTTCTTGCTTCGTTATGATACACACAGCGCCCCTACCTTTTGCAGGGACACGAGCGTCCCATTACCACTGTGAAATTCAACTACGACGGCGACTTGTTGTTCACCGCCTCCAAGGACTTGGTGCCTTCCGTCTGGCGCACCGAGACGGGCGACCGCCTCGGCACCTTTGCCGGCCACAAGGGTACCGTCTGGGACTTGGACTGCGACCGGTTCACGCGCCGCCTTCTGACCGCGTCGGCGGATGCCTCGTGCAAACTATGGAGCTGCGAAACGGGAGAGTGCTTGGCAACCTTTGTGCACAAGGGACCTGTGCGAGGAGTGGTGTGGGCGGAAGGGTCCAACATGTTTGCGACGATTAGTGACCACTTTGTGCAGCATGAGCCAAAGATTTGTGTCTATGACTGTCCATTGAATGCAAACGCAGCAGATATCGACTTGGTGCCGCGACTCGAAGTCGACTTGCCCAAGGTTGGTGGCAAGCGCGTCAGTCCAACCAACATTCAGTGGTCGGCCTTCAACGAGTCGCTCGTTGTGGCGTTTGACAATGGGCAGATTCGATTGTATGACCCCGAGTCGGGTGACGTTACCTTTGAATTCGAGGCGCACGAGAAGAAGATTAACCGCATGCGATTCAACCGCGACAAGACTCTGCTGATAACGTCAAGCGCCGACTTTACCTCTAAGCTCTTTGATCCTTTTGATGAATACCATCATTTGAAGACGTACAAGACTGATCGTCCTGTCAATGATGCCGTCATCAGCGACCATAAGGATCATGTGCTGCTGGGAGGAGGACAGGAAGCAATGAGTGTGACAACGACCGCGGGTAAAGTGGGAAAGTTTGAGACACGCTTCTTTCAGCTCGTATACGAGGAAGAGTTTGGCGTTGTCAAAGGTCATTTTGGTCCAATCAATGCGTGTAAGTTTTCTAATTGAGTGCGTGGACGAGATGCATCGTTTACCTATTCTTGGCTGAGCAATATACTCACACGTTTCACGCGGTTTATACCATGTCTCCTTTCGCAGTGGACATTAACCCAAACGGCCGTAGCTACGCCAGTGGAGCCGAGGATGGATATGTGCGTCTGCATCACTTTGACAAGGACTATTTGGACATGAAGGATCCTGTTCCGGAGGAGGATGAGGTGGATGAAGATGACGACGAAGAAGATGCTGACGAGAGAAGCCTTGTTGTATAAAATATCACAGTATATAACTACAATACTCCAGCTATATGCTATGTCTACTCTAGTATGTAAGTTTGTACTATGTCGATAATGACAAAAGCAGAGAACAGGCTACGTACGGCGTGCACACTTCATGCAGAAAAAGGAGGCATAGCTGCTACCAATATCTTCTTGTCACGTCTACGATTCTGAGCTACAGTACTTGTAGACTATCGGTTGGAATCTTAACTAAAAAGTGGTAAAAATGGTCTAAAGTAGTTCAAAAGAATGCATAAAAAGGTTGCAAAATCGAGTCGCGCTCCTCTAAAATCAGGGGCACTGACTCTGACTGACTAGTACATGGCGCACATCGCGCATGTACTCATCATTTAATCAAATTGCGCTTGGCTTTGCGACAAGCCGACTCGACAAAGTCTTCCACCATTGACACGGAAAGCAAGGCCTTGGTCATGTTGCGCTGTCGCTTGATTTGGTTCACCTTGCGCTCACCCGCGTCAATCTCCGCTTCCGTATAGCCCCATCGGTGCTGCAGAAGGTTGCGGCGATTGTAGTAGTTGAGCATCATTTCGCGGGCCGTCCGACGGCGGGTAATGCAGGATTCGTAGTCGTCAATCGAGAGCGAGTGAACGTCCTCGTAGTCCCAGTCAAGCTGAATGGGCGTGCCAATGGAGACGGAAGGATTGTCGCCAATCGTTTGCGCGTAGTTTCGAATCAAAATCTTGTCAAACGAGACGGAATGTTGAGGCTTTGACGCAGTCGGACTTGAATGCGACGAGGCTATAAGTGTTTCATCTGCGTTAGTTCTACTTGTTGGTTCTGGTGCTGGAAGCACCTTCCAGAACTTGGTTCGAATCGGAATCGATGCAGGACAGTAGGGACGTAGGCAGGAGCGACGTTGCGTCTCGTCACAAGAGGAGTCGTCGGTACAAGACTCGTCCTCGCTAATGGGAGCTGTACAATCGGAAGATTCAACGTGGGTCATTATTTGATGCTGCGTCTTGTTGCTTCCGATACTTTCGAAAAGGTCCTTTGGCACCATGACAAATGGCTGAGACTCGGTTACAGCAGGAAGAGAAACCGCCGCTATCTTTACCGTCATGGCTGTCTGCTAGCAGTACAGAGGACACAGCGTGCGTTTCACTTGTAGGCGCGATTGTGTTTCACTATTCCGGCAACTTCTGTCGGCATGCAGCCATGTCGACGATCGTCTCATGGTCATGCGAAACTTCGCTGGAATCGAAGAGAACTTTCGCCATGCCACGTCGGCGTGACCAATGAGACACACTTCACTATAGGCGATCATGTAGGGCTTTGCATGGTTGTCACAATAGCCCTCGTGACGGCGCCGCTCCGGTCTTCCAAAACTTCCGGCGGGAGCTTTCAAAGGTCGGGCAGGCACCTGTTGGATCCGTCGATCGGCGACGTGTGCTGTGGGTTTGTGGCCTACAGTAAAAAAGATCTTCAAGGCTGCTGTACTTGCATGAGCTTTGTGTGAGGCGCTGTGGCGACTGGGATCTGAAAAGATGCGACTACGACGCAGCCCTTGCTTGGAGCTGGGCGCAGGGCGCTGGGCGACGCGTCGGACGAAGACGAAAGTATAGATGGAGCGACAAGCGTCCCGTCTACTACACCGATGCACGCAAAGTCCAGCCCGGTGGGCCCCATTGAAATTCTGAGGCTACTTGTCAGCTCTTATAATAACTTGCGGAGCCTTCTCGAACTTCCCTGTGCAAGTCGCGGGCCACGGTCGGAAGACGCAGCGTCGCAGCTTTCCCGCAGGATCCTGCCAATAGGAGGACACGAGGACACAACTTTGGAAACCCAATACGTGCCATTACACGAAAGTAAAATGCGAGCACAACAGGTCTCATAGCTCGACTGCGCCATATATAAATTCCATCGTGGCAAAGGACAAGCGATTTACTAGTGCATCAAGCGTCTCAAGCGCAAATGCTAGCCAATGCAATCTAAAAAAGCTTTTGCATCCAAAGAAAACTAAAGGACAGGTCACCTCAACTACATTAACTTTGAACGCTCCCCAACCTTAAACAAACAAGACGCTCGATCAACAACTGCGCTTATATTGTTTTCGCGAATGTATCACTTGGAAAGGCCAGTGCGAAATGCGCTCAAGGTCAAGATGAATTGTGAGGTGCAGGTCCAGGAGCTTACGTCCTACTGTCCGTAGAGTAGTAGATTGAGTGACTCTAGGGACTTCACTTCCAATTTCCCGGTTACTATGATGAACTATTAAAACTACCATAGAATAGCAAGTTGTCGTTGATGATCACTTGCAAGAGCTTGACAATGAAGCGGTCATTGTTTCGGCGATGCTTTCGCGGGAGATTATGATGCATGCACAAAGGTGACGTCACGTTGCTTGTTGATCGTGATCATCAAAGTCGGAAAATGACGTTGAGGGGCTGTATGCCAAGAGAGGCCCGGTTCTTCAAGGGCTATGTTGACGCAAGATCAGCCTGATCTCACTTAACCGCGGTGCAAAACGCGAAGATCAAGTCGGATACATCCACAACTCAGAAATTATGACGATGCTGAGTCCGATGTTGAGTTTGCTACTCCGTTGTGACCCAACGTGAATATACTGTTCAAACTGCGTGTCGCCGCTGTGCTTCTCCGTGTTCTTCAGTTTCTCCGTGGTCATTTTGATCACGTGTCAACCGAGGATAGCCGATCTTGAGGCTATCAGTGACCTTACCGTAGGAGTCGTACCAAGTTCTACGGCGGAGATGCTTACGTCGACGCATCCGCCGCATAATTCGCGCAAAATCAACTCCCATCACAAAATCTCACACCGACTCGTCGACCATGTGCGTAACAAACACCACCACTCGCCGCCTTCAGGCGGTCTCCTTTCCTGTTGAGCAAGTTGGAGGATGCAGCCCGTCTGATCTCTCGCAGGGTTTGATGGGAAGCTTCTCGCTTGACGGCTCCGTCGCGCTTCCACGCTTGGAACCAGACGTCTCGGAAACCATTTACACCCAGCAAGACTCGAACAAGAGTCGCGCCAAGCGCCAGCGCAAGCCCCAGAAGCCAGGCAAGACGGCCAAGATGAACGATCGTCACTTTGTCGAGCACAACTACCACGATCATGCTGGCGATGTCGATGAGAATGATGCTTCTTCCTTGACGGAGTTTTCGGAGGAACATCGCCGCCGCGGAGGCGTCGCCGTTACCTTTCCGGAACGCCTTCATCAGGTTCTGGAGCAAGTGGAACGTGACGGATATGCTCATATCATCTCATGGCAGCCGCATGGGCGCTGCTTTTTGATTCACAAGCCCAAGGAGTTTGCCGAGCATGTCATGCCAAAGTGAGTCATATCTGTTGATTCCGACGCCTTTCATTCTACTCTTCCTCAACCTCATTTTCTTCAACAACAGATACTTTCGCGTATCCAAGCTAACTTCGTTCCAACGTCAATTGAATCTTTGGGGATGGTCGCGTTTGACTCGAGGTATGTAGTTGACTGGCGCATTTGAAAGTAGGGATGCTCATTGGCATGTTACTGATATATGT